CTCCACTTGCGATTAAAGGATGATCGATATCAAGAAACGGCCCAGTGAGAATTAGTACATCAGCGTAGGTATCCGCTGCTTGGCTACAAATGGCGTGTAGAGGTTCGAAGTCTAGATTGTCATCTGCTGTAAAGGGACCACTTCCAATAATAATGTTTAGAGGTGCAGGGTCAGAGTCTTCATCCATTGCATCTGGACCTCCTCGAAGTCTTCGAACATGCTCATCAAGGCCAGCAGGCGTGGATGCAGCAACGCCTAGAAGAGGTGGCTCAAGAATCTCGCTCACTGTAAAATCTTCCCCAGAAGCATTTATTCCCTTCAGCGCAACTATCTGCCCAGGGAAGAATTGAAATCCACTCATCTTATCAACTTTGAGTGGTATTCGTAATCCGGCTCCCATCCTTCGTGAGGTTTCAAGTACGATTGAAGACGGATTAAGCTTTCCCTCGGCAGAGTCGCATGCAATCCTTCCAACAGATACTATTTCATTCGTACTTTGACTTGCTGCACTACCGAAGTCCGAGTCATCTAGCTTATGATGTGCTTGTATGAGAAGCATGAACTCGTCTATACGGTCATCCAATATCTCTGACGCTTCTGATGATTTCATGGCCATTGTCTTGTAAGATAATTTCTTCATATCTGAGTTGGCTGTGAGTTTGATTCTTGATTCTGGATAAGGAGCAATTGGAGGCTCTGGTAGCTCGAGGTGGTCATTCAGAACTTCTACAGTTTGGCCGGCGAACTTTCTATCGTTGAATGAAGTACTATGTTCTGTCAGTATTGGGCAGTTTCAGAAGATCGTGATACCATACGGAGCATATGAAGAGCCGGCTCCAGCTTCAGCACCAGTATCAACCTCCTTCAGGTTTTTTGATGTCCTGAAGTCTGGGGGGCTACTGGCCGGTTCTGCTTTCACTCTTGACATAGAAGGTGTCTCTACTTTGCGTTTCGGCCGCGAACTCATCCCACTTCGGGGGGTATTTGGCGCAATATCTAACCTACGTTACTATGAGTAAAGATCAAATTGATAATTCAAGAACATCCTCACATTCCAAAAACATCATTATTGTTCCCTGCATTTCGAGGTGTAGCTCCTACTCTTTTATTCGACGTTTGAGCCTTGGTTTTTCGATTCTCCTTTTCCAGCCCGTCTTGCACACTTTGTTTGAGTGCTCTAACAGTATCGATATCCAATTTCATATCATCCTGTCCCATCTTAATGCTATACGATTCCCATTTGTAGAAAAGCTCTTGCGGGGGTATTGAATGCAGTCGCATAATTGAATGCAATTCTGTGAGTACATCTGGCTCAAGGGGTCCACCTGAAGCAGTCGCAGATGAAAACAAATCATTCAGCTCACTATCGTTTTCCGCCATTTTGAGGCTGTCGTGTAGAAAAATCGTTGATATTGTTGAGAAGGTTCGGTCAGGTTTGATCTTGGAAGATATTTGGGGAGACGCGTTTTGACGCGCTTCAACTAAATTGATTTTCACGAGTTTGCGCCACGAACGAGCCACAATTCATCAAATCCATGGATGCCTTCAGGTGGACCTCGGGATCCATGGTAACCTCCTGCTCAACAAACCCTTTTTCAAAAGCTCAACTTATTTTAATGCATTGTATCGTACTCGTAACAGAATGTGTTTCTGTCATAATTTCTCTGACAATTACATCCTATCCCATCCTATCCCTCTTGGCAATTGTTTCAAAACAGTAGGTACACTCACTTGAGAAGTGGTAACAAAATTAAAATTCACCAATGGAACGCTCATAAGGCTGAGCTAGCACCACATTTTTAGATTGCAACAAGTTGGTGTCTGGGCATAAGTTACTAATTACCCCTTGAATTCTGTGTCTTCTTGTCTACGGGAGCTGAATTTGATCGAATTCGGGGTGTCCCATTTTGCAATCAAACATCTATTTTGTTATTCAAAATGTCAACAGAGAATCAAAACGAAGTCGCAGGCATCGAAAAAGAGATGGCCGGTGTTAATCTAGGAGGTCCTACTAATGGGCAAACATCTTTAGCTTCAATTGAGGGTAAAGGACCAAATCCTCTTAAGCCACCATTCCTCAACCCGCTCGAGTCTTCGAAGCCTCCTCCTTCGCCAGAACTCACAGAAGAACAACAACAAAAATACGATGCGCTGTTAGAAACTGTCAAGTCATGGACAGAAATTCCAGCTAAAGATTCAAAAGGGGGGCCTATCACAGATAGTGAAAGGTTATGGTTAACAAAAGAATGTTTATGCCGGTACTTGCGAGCAACGAAATGGTCCGCTACGGAAGCACCAAAACGACTATTAGGAACTCTGACTTGGAGGCGGGAGTACGGTGTGAGCGATCTTAGTGGCGATGACCTCTCCATCGAGAACGAAACCGGCAAGCAGTTCATCTTGGGTTATGATAACGAAGGGCGTCCATGTCATTACTTGAATCCTGGAAGACAAAATACGGAACCAAATCCCAAGCAAGTACAACATTTGGTATTCATGCTCGAGCGATGTATCGACTTGATGATTCCAGGCCAATCCACGCTCGCATTGTTGATCAACTTCAAGTCCAGTAAGAGTAGATCGAACACAGCGCCTGGCATTGGGCAAGCTAGAGAAGTCTTGAACATTCTTCAAACTCACTATCCTGAACGACTTGGGAGAGCTTTGATTATCAATAGTAAGTCTCCTAATTGACTGACAAATTCCTCGCTAATTCCTCAAAAGTACCTTGGATGGTGAACGGCTTTTTCAAACTCATCACCCCATTCATTGATCCCTTGACTAAAGCAAAGTTGAAGTTCAATGATGATATGAAACAACACGTGCCTCCTCAACAACTCTGGGCTGAGTTTGATGGAGAGCTTGCATTCGAGTATGAACACGCAACCTATTGGCCGGAGTTAATCAAACAATGTGAGGGGCGTCAACAGAGTGCTTTTGAGCGTTGGGTCCAGGCGGGGAAGCAAATTGGAGAAAGTGAAGTTTATTTGAAGGGTGCAAATGTTCCTAGCATCAGCGGCGGTATCACTGAGGAAATGCCATCAAATGGCCATGCCGTTGAACCGAAGACACTCGGGACATTGTCCGAAATATCAGGAGACATCAACGGGAAATCCGAGAAGAATGATGAGGCATGAAGTCAATAGAAAAGGCTGTACAAATAATCTGCTTGCAATAGGATAGAATAGATTAGATATTAATAAATGAACTAAATAATAAATCTAACCACACCTGAACCCTTGTACTACCTACCAGACAATATTTCTGAAGAACATGGACAATGGTGCTACCCCCTCGCTTGGCAATCGACCTCGCCCTCAATTTCAGCAGCCTTGCGACAACCCCCCAAATCATACCTACATCCAACTTCACACAAATCACAAAGTTCGTAACTATCTTACAACGCCATATCAAATAGTATATCCAACTACGCGCGACCAACAATTAATCAATTAAATGTCCTCCCAACCCGTAAAACCGCCGTTGACCGGTCAAGTTTCTCACACTCAACGAGGCTCCCAGTCAGGGCTGCGATATCCTTCCACCGGCAAAACGATATACCATAGACCATTGAATCGCAGTAAGACGCAGGAGCTAAGTCAAGCCAGCTTTGCATATCTATTTGGGGAGATGGTTAGTTATGCACAACGACGGGTTACTGGCATTCAAGATCTCGAGAAGCGGTAAGATTCCCTTCACTACATGTCGAGTTTAGACAAACAACCTGTGTTACCAAAAAGTACAATTCTAATCAAAACACTAGACTAAATGTTCAAGGTCACCCCATCGGCCTCAAACTCCTCGATCTCCTACTCTACCGCGAACCACCACGTACACAAACCCGACCCCTTAACATCATCGCCCTCCTCCAATTCATAACCACCGTCCTCTGGCGTCACCTCTTTTCCCGCCCTGCAGATGCACTCGAGAAATCTTCGAACCCTGACACGCCTGAGGAATACATGATATCCGATAATGAACCTCTTGTCAATCAATATATTAGTGTGCCTAAAGAAATGAATCAATTGAATTGTGCGGCATTTGTCGCAGGCATTATTGAGGGTGTTTGTGATGGCGCAGGTTTTCCGGCAAGGGTTACGGCGCATAGTGTGGGAAGGGGGGAAGAAGGAGAGTTGTGGCCGGGGAAAACGGTGTTTTTGGTCAAGTTTCAGGAAGAGGTGGTAGAGAGAGAGGCATTTTTGGGGAAGAGTTAGGTTGAAGAGAAGTGAAATTATATCATCTGGACCTTGCAACGTATCCGCGATCATACGCTGGGCGTAAAGGAGTTTCACTGGCATGGAGTTAATGGTTAATATCTGGGTCTATCTTCTATCCCGCAGTCGTTTTACTCGACTAGATACGACATGGAAGAGCACATATGCTTGTCATCATCCATCTATTTGACTTTTCTACCAACACATCACTTCTCAGTTCGGAACTAATTGCACTTCCTTTGCTCATTCACAAAGGAATATCGCAATCGTGCGGTCATACCACAAGGCTTGATCTCCAACATTTAGGTCTCGGAGATGTGGTTTTGGCAGGCGTCTGTCGAGGTGCATTCCACAAACTTCTGTCCAAACCCCAGAGAGTAGGGCACACTTGATAGAGCGGAGACTTATAACCACCAATTGGCACTAGATGAGCAGATTAATCAAATCTAAGGGTTGTTTAGAGCTTCTCATGCCGTCTTCCTTACGCCTGTATCTCTAGAAGTAGAATCATATGACACCTGAGACACCAGAAACCCAATATTTCTTGTTTAGGCTTTTTTATGAACGATGTAAAATTCATAGGATTTCCCTCCGGGTATTGACACAATATGATGATATCCTTTAAGTTGAACATGCCAGTCCAACCTCTGTGCCAGTAATATAGTGCTCTCAGTCCCTATAATCCCTTCAACCTTACTCTCTCAAAGAATCGTGGAGTGCCAAACTCCGTCATTGATTTCCCATTAGATTATACGCCCATTTAACTCCGAAATCCTTTCACGTTTTTTATCTTGGAAGACTTCTAATGCCCTTGTAGTTTCCTCCTTCACTTCCACTTTTACCACCTGGACCTTTCTTCATCAATTCTGCTAATCCTAAATCTTTCCAAGCTGGCTCTTTGGTCTTTTGTGTCGCCCTCTGAATCCCAAATGCTGCATGTTGATCTGGAACAACATCGTCTTCATCTTCGGGGTTTACTGGTTGATTGTGTGGCGGTACGTAGATGTCATCGTCGGGGAGTTTGTCTTTGCAGAAGTCTTCGAACAGATCCGCTGTGCGGGATAGTGTGAAATGGACATAGGTGTGATTTGAATCTTTGGACTGTATCATTGTTAGTAAGTAGTAATAGCTTGAATATAAATGAGTCAATCATGGGTAATTTTCTATGGATTCCTACCATTCTTCCTTTTGTACAGTGAAGTGAAATAGTAAACAGAAGGTCTGTTATTGCAATTGTTTTGTTTACTCTCTCCTCGATGATACCTAAGTGATAAGTCAATACAAGGCTACAATATGCAAGGCTGTTTATCTGTCTTATCTGCAAGGCTTCACATGATGGGTAGAATTCTAGTTCGGAATTTACTTATTCCGCTGTCCATGCTCTTTGCCTTATACTTCAGGCTTCAGGCTAAAAACATCATTTGTGCGAAACTTCGCTTAGAGCTCAATAAGCCCTTCCAGTCAATTTGAACATTACGAACTCTACGACAACAACGATTTTCGCAAACTCCAAGCACTCCAACACCGCCGACAACAGTCCTCGCCAAAATCAGACAACATGTCTCACGAATCAGTTTGGATGTCCAGACCCCGTACTTACGGAAAGGGATCCCGCGAATGGTATGTGGAGAATCAATCGCATCTTGCGATTTTGTCAAGGATCACCAATGATCTTGATTGAGAAAATTCATTTCTAACACACTTAACAGTCGCGTTTGCACCCACAAGGCCGGTTTGATCCGCAAGTACGGTCTTAACATCTGCAGACAATGCTTCAGAGAGAAGGCAGCCGATATTGGATTCGTCAAGGTACGCTCGCTGCAGAATCTACGCACCATCTCACTTTACACCAACAAATCCTTCGATCATCAAAACTGGATTGAATGACCACTAACAAAACTTGTAGCACCGTTAAATTCACCACACCTTGAAAATTAACTCATCGAAAACGGAACGATACGACCACGATGGGTTTGTGGAGAGAATCAAATTAACATGGCATGGAGTTCTGGGCTTTTGCAGGAAAAGGGATACGAAAGAGGACATTTATGGTCAGACTTTAGAGGGCATTTTCAAATGAAGGGAGGAACGCTTATGGACACTCGTGTGCTGAGGCTGCTCTGCGATGGATTGTTTTCAAGGTTATGACACCTTTTCAACTGCATTGATCTGGAATGGAGATGGTTCTTTTTCCTAGGGTCATCTGAGCTTGTGTTCATTTGGCTTCGGCTAGGAAGTAGCTTTCTCGGAATATATCAGGTCGTTTTCCTTGAGATATTATGGATTACTCAGATTGTGCTTTCTGAACTGAGTGAATGATTATATCATAAACATTGGAGATTCTGGGTAGGGTGGAAGGTCAAGTGGCCTTTCATTGGCCCCAATTTAGTGAGTGAGGACTCGATAGGTTAATACGCATGGCCGGAATCAAACTCGCCCGGTCGAATCCGCAATTTTGTCTCCATCCACGATCATGAACGTGGCCCAAAAATCCTCAAATATCCTCATTTTTGGGGTATCAACGATTCTTATCAATCTACCGAGGACGAAAGATCCGTCTACATACATGTCTGGCCGAGATCACAATTCTGCTCCTACATTTCTCCAATAACAGGAGTACAGCCCAAATCTTTTTGCCCTTCTGATTCCTTCAAACACGCCACAAATTATCAAGTCATAGAGTAAAACAACGATTCGCCTAGGAAAGTTGTGCCTGCCAAAAGTGCCATTTAAAAAGCAATGTGAAGTGCTGAAACTCGTGACATGTTTATATCAACTTCGAGTGAGCTACTGGTTGAATTTCATTGAGCTTCTTGTCCTTGCCAGGAAAATGTCCACAAAGTCTATATTCCATTGCACATAAACTCTGAAGTGGTAGTCACGTTCTGATGATAATATTGTAAAAGCTAGCTCTACCAATATCAAAGGTGCTCTTTCCTTTGCAAGGTAGGGAGGTTTCCTTGAGCTATTTTGTTGTTTTGTCTATTACATTTGTGCCCAATCACTCTACTAATCAACCGGAAGTTCTTCATATTCAATGGCCAACACAAAGAATGATTCCATACTGGACACCCCGCTCAATTTCGTCATATTCTGGAGCTATAATACACCCATGACAATATGACCCTGAGAGCTTCACCAGCAACACGCCAGGACTTCTTTACTACAAGTGAACATGATGAACTTCTAGCACAAAATAAATATCATCATTACCACGATTGCATCTCACTGCTTCGCTTTAATATGTCGACACTCTAAAAGCTCAATGAATGTAGCTACTCATGCCTCGTCAAACCAACACTTTACATCACCGATAACGATCTCACATTCATATTCATATTCACAAACTGATTCAATTTTGTTTTGTCATTCAACTGTTAAATGTACATGATCTTCGCTCAAGATCGTTGTTCAAATTCTAAATCCTGCATCCAACGCGCATACTCCATAAACCAAATTCTATATATAAACAAAATAACAAGCGCTTGACGTATTACAATACAGTTGTATACTAACTTCAACCTCACCAACCATCGTCATCGGAGTTGCTCTCCCCATTGACAGTTTAACTGGTCCAAATATCAGCGTGGGGACTAGGGCTCGGAGATCTCGGCGATATAGGGGTCAGGGCCAAAGTAGTCGTAACCGGGCGGGCGAGGAATCAATTCGAATGTCGAATGTGAAGTGGGGGTTTTGTTTTCTACAACATGCTTTAAAGCCCACTCCAACAACGTTTTCATTACTTTGTACTGGCCATCCGCGGATGATTCTTCAGGATCAATGTTCAGAGGGTGTTCGGGGCACATCATGAAGACAATGCAGAAGCGTAGCTTTTCAGACTCGTAATACCACTCGATGCACTCGATGAAATCACGAAGGCTATTCTTCTGCCATTCAGACAACCCCTGCAACATATTTGGAGAAAGCAAGTCGAAGCCAGTATCCTCATTACATGAACACTTATACTGCAAACTCATAACATCTTCTTCTTCACATCCCTCAAATAGCTGCTCGACGAATTCGACCGGCCATACACCTCGACACATTGGGCAGGTGGGTTTTTTATACTCCGATCTTTGCCCATTTGTCCACGTTCGAAGACATGCTCTGTGAAAAGTGTGTTTGCAGCAATGTTCCACTCGTATGTTGTTTTTCGATACGTTCATTTTTTCGCAACAAATAGGACAGTCATCGACAATTTTTGGGCTGCTTTCGCGGGTTAGTTGGATAATTGGTGATATCGAAAGATTCGCCATTTCTATGGACAAAGTGGTGGTGGTAACGGATTTAACTGACATTCTTTTAATTTCCTTCTTTCTATTTTTCTGGTTTCTGTTTTTCCTATTCTTATGCGGCATGATTGTGTGTGGCGTTTGAGAAGGGAGGTTCTCAATAAAGTTGGTTGAGAATAATAAGGCGGCGAAGATAATCTTTAAAGTTCAAGAATGACTTGGAGGGATCTGGTCAAATAGATTGAGAAGAGAAGCTTGAAGTTATTTGCTAGAATTATCCTATGTGAGATGTGATATGTCTGGAAAGAAAAAGAATTCAGGAGTTGGGGAAACATCAGAACTTATGTACCTAAATTGTGGTCTAGTTTTTCACTAATTTCTTTTGAACTGCTGTCATGAAGAACGCGGGGGAGAAGACTAAAAGACGCTAAGCGAGACTTAGGGGTACGCATTGGGTAGCTTTGTAGATCTTGGTAACCCAAAATGGTTAGCATTCACAGCATTCTGTATTTTGGTATCGAGCTAGTCTGGAACTAATTTTCGTCCTGGTTGTCCTCATTGAGGAAAATTTTCTACCTGCAATTGGACACATGCGAAATGTAATCATGTGGATGACGCGATATTAAAGTTTCAATATTTGAGATTTTCTTTTCTTGGCTTTGTAGTGGTTTAGATCGGAAACGATAGATGGAGCGACTCTAACTAGGAGTTTTCATGTTTTATCCGTGTGAAAAAGACCAGCGAAACAATGAGATAATTACACTAGAGGGGCTTGTTTGCCAAGGGTAAGGCAATCCTGTCCAAGTATGTTTGACGACTGAGGACATTCAAAATCCGGACTGATAGACTGGATACAAGCCCCCAATTTCTGAATGCATTGTAGCTTTCAAAATCATCTCAAACTCATCGGAGAGTTGTGGGATAATCATATTATCGATTCGTAGTCAAGATCATGACCATCGACAGCTCATTCTTAGCTACCCACAGTCATATTAACAACCATACAGATCATCCCATCTGAACTCTAGGTATCGGGAAACATCGGAGTATATACATTCTAGATGATGTACTATTCATATGATATCTAAGTAGGTAGCTAGCTCTTTCCAGTCAAATCTTGGCTTTTCGACGCGCATGACTTGATGAGAATATTAGATGTGCAACAATCATTCACTAGATGCTATAACTACCTAGGTAGCTTCAAAAACTGAAAATTTTCTAGTGTTGAACTACAGTCTGGCCTTTTGATCTTGTCGAGGTTCCGAAGTTGTGAATATTCCTCGAATCGCAGTTGGTCAGTATTTCTGGCACCTGCTTCCTTGATTCCGGGTACGACGTAAGTGATCATCAACGAGGAGTGGTAGATCTTCATGGAATCTTTAGGTAAGTTACTGTGAGTCAATCGTATAGCCTACCAGATATCATCAATCTAACGAGGGTACGCTCGGATCGAGTTTTTTGATCGGCTAGATTCGATACATTGGAGATAGGAGATCTAATTTTGCGTTTACCGAATGCAATACTGAAGCGAATATCTGTCGGCTCGAAGAAATACATGCATGTATTGAATATACTATTGAGTCTACCAAAAATTTATATCTAGTATACTAGAATAGCAAATGATTCAACCTTCTCTCTTACCATTATAAATGATAACTTTTAGATGGTATTAAATAAAATAATATATTCGAAAATATCAATATCTTCATTCTCCAGCTCAATCCTATATCTCATAGCATCGCTTCAAATGTATTAGCTCCATTGTCTCACATCCTCACCATTTCAATCATTTCTTCAACTATAAAAGTCAAGGATTCGAACGCGCTCTAAGTGATTTTGATGTAATTCACCATTGTTTCCGTTAGTTGTCTATCTTGATATCTACCAAAGTCAAGGTTCTAGGATAGTAAGTTTAAGTTTTTCCATATAAAAATTCGTGATTTCACTCATACTGCATCAGCCAGCCGAGTCTTTACTTCGTTTTAATATCCATTGTAGGCATGCAGAGGCTTGCATTGTAATGCCTATGGATCGTATGAAAACTATAGAATCGAGAAGATATATCTCCTAATGACTACCCAATGCTAGCTAGTATACATACAGAATCGTGAATTCCTTCAATAATACCGGTCGAATATGAACAAAAGCCAAGAACCAGTAAAAAAAACATCTTAAAAGTCGAGGAATTCTTTCCACACAATACCTTCGAATTTTCAACACGACATACCTACCTGCATTCACTCATCTAATTCCAAACTAAGAATCCGTGACTCCTTAAAACCCAACCGACCAAACGAACCGACTCACATAACCCTAGGGCCTAGATATCTTTCTCATAGAAACACATTCCCCTTCTATGTCCAAATCCAAATCCATCTATCCATACCCATACCCAATCCCATCAACCAATTTCCCATCCCGCGAACCCCCATCATCTCATCCACATTCATAAACCTACTTTCTCAAACTCATCCAGATCTTACACTGCCTACCTAGCTAGAATAATTCTCCCTCCATCTCCTTTAATCTTCATCTCCATCCTCAATTGCAACTCCATTCAAATCCAAACACGAAAGTCAAAAGAAATCAATAACGTCCTCTCCTTCCATTTCTTTACGCGAAATCTTGGAAAAAAAATTACCATGATACCGTTTTATTTCTTCTTTCTTTCTTGTGAATGGGATGAGTGAATCAAGGACATCAACCAGTCTAGATTCTTTTCACGGTGTGAACTCACCTAGCTAGGTAGTATATGTCTAGCATATAATGAACATACCCATCGAGAGCTCAACTAAGCGAACTTAACTTGATTGAAATTGGGATGAGAAAGAAAGAAACATGAAAACAGATTCACCACTACCCAGCTGGATCTATTTCTCCCTTCTAACTTCAATCCTCCTCTACCAAATTCAATCTAAACATCTATCTGGCAGCTCGACTCTTCCACTCCCATCAAATATTTACAATTGCATCAAGGAATACCAAAACGTATCAAGAAAAATCTTCTGATATTTATATTCATATATATCTGGGTATCAATGATCCTCCTATTCATCTTTTCCTTTACATAAAATCCCATCATTAACATCCGTCTTTTTATTTTCATACATCCATCAATCCACATGATTCTTAATTAGCAGGCAAAAGTAGCGACCCACCAATGCCCATACATCCATCCACCTATGAATCTTACACCATCATTAAATCATGCCTTGTTTCGGCTAGCACCTCCCAACTCTCCTTCTCTTTTATCTCATCCACCTATTCGACTCTGTTCTATTCAATTCCAATCTACAGCTCAGACTTGGAAGTCTCATTAACAGCTGTAACACCGTCATGATGAGCAACACTAGGACCAAGTTTATCCTCAGCATCAAACTCTCCTCTCTCCAAACGACCTGCTCTCTTGTCAACACCTGTCTTCCAGGCTGGAGTACCCAAGAACTTGATGCTTCCAGGCTTTGAGTAATCGAAGATCTCCTCAACCTCCTCAAGAGGCTTCTGACTAGTTTCTGGGAAGACGAAGAAGACATGAAGAGTCATAGCGACACAGAAGATTCCAAAAACGAGATAAACCTTCCATCTAATATTGGCAAAGGCAGGTGGGACGAAGTATGCAAGAGCGAAGTTGAAAGCCCAGTTAGCAGAGGTAGACAGAGCGACGGCCTTTCCACGGATACGGAGAGGGTAAAGCTCAGGTGGGTAAATCCAGGAGACTGGTCCCCATGTTGGTGCATATGATGCAACGAAAAGGTATGTGCAAGCAATGACAGCCTTGGATGGTGCTCCGGTAATAGAAATGGATTCGGCGGCACTGGAGAATTGTCCCTCGTATGGAACGGTTCCGTATGTAGCCAAGAGACCGGCGTTGATGAAAAGCCAAAGCATCATCAAGATGGATCCGAAAAGAAGGACGGGACGACGACCTAATCTGTCAACCCAGATCAATCCAGGAATTGTCATGACGACATTGATAATGAATTGAATCGAGGAAGGCAAGAGAACGTTGCTACCCAAACCAGCCATGGTGAAAATGTAGGTAATGTAGTACATCATGACATTCATGCCGGTAAGTTGAGACCAGATTTGAGTGAAGATACCAATGTGTGTTCGGTTAATCATATCGGGCTTGAACAACTCCATATAAGTAACGTCAGCGTTAGCTCTCTCGAACTCAACGACTTCTCTAATTTCGGCCAATTCCTTAGCGACGAATGGGGAGTTGGGGTCACCATGGCCATGGACAAGAGACAAAACTTGGTGAGCTTCTTCCCATCTGTCTTTTCTAGCGAGCCAACGTGGGGATTCTGGCAAGAAGAAAAGAGCGAAGAAAAGGAAGACAGCTGGAATCATTTGAAGACCCCATGGGATACGGAAAGCAGCGTTTCCTTTGAGGAAGGAGCATCCATAGCAAATGTAGAACATGATGAGGATACCCCAGGTGATAGCCCATTGTTGGCAACCGACGAGTCTTCCACGCTTAGATGGTGGTGCAATCTCGGTGATGTAGACGGGAACTTGAGCGGAGCAGATTCCAACCGAGAGACCGTTGATGATACGACCGACGATAAGCATGGGAATGTTTTGGGCAGCGCAGACGATGATGGAGCCAAGAACCCTGTGGATGCTTGTTAGGCAAGCTATTCATTGAAGACATAAAAAGTGGGAATATTTACCAGATAAGGGAACCAAGTTGAATGGATCTTTTTCTACCAAACATGTCTGAGATATAACCGGACAATAAAGCTCCAAGCCAACTTCCAGCGGGCATAGAAGCGGTGATACCACCTGTATCAAATTAGTCTTCGTTGTGATGGCGATAATAGTAGGAATTTTTTCATACCTTGAACATCTGGAGATGGACCAGTACATTTACCATTGACGATTCCTCCTTGATCGAAGTAACATAAATATGCCTCAGTTGAGATGATAGCGGACATAGACGAGATATCGAAACCGAACAGAGCACCACCCACCACGGCCACGGCCGCGATGAAGTAGACGTTACCGATGATCATCTTGTAAATTGGTGATCAGGTAACTAAACCTGTTCTTATGTTGACAGTAGAGGTGTAGTACACTGTGAAATAGAGGTCGACCTTCTTCAAGGCAGAACAGAAATTGATAGAGGGGAAAGAAAAAGCCAGAGTCTTGGTGATCGACACAAAGACTTATATAGAAAAAGAAAGTGTAGGGCTGGGGTAATAATGGAGCACGAAAACTGTTGGAATAATGGAATCTGGAGATATAGCAAGTGGATTGAAAGAGAAGGGCCGAATTCTGGTTATGGATCCTCCCAAGTTTTACCTTTGAATGTCAATCATCCCGGGGAATGTCCTTGCCAAATGGATTTGATGGGTTGGAAAGAATTTGGGGTTGTTCTTTCCCCGCCATTTGACAGCTGATCGAGATCTCACTTGTTACCAGTATGTCTCAATCATATAAACTTGATATGATTCGAAGAGTGAAGCTTGCCGTCTTCAAGATTGACGATACTGGTACTGATCATCAGTAAGATTCCTTTGGAAATCATCAAATGGGATGCAGGCATAACGCCTCTCGAGCGCTTTTCCAGGGCCCCATCAGTCTCACACGAGGTATGCGGTATGAACGACGATCTCTGCGCATGGGAGTGCATAAGCAATACAACACCTTCCACCTAGAGTGGAATTTGATCGGCGCTTGTCAGAGTATCTCATCTGCGCGCCAACTTGTCGACTGATTTTGTTGTTTTGAAAAACTGGGCCGAAAATTATGTTGGTGGATCCTTCCATTTTTATGGAGAGATTGGGGATTCGGGGAAGACTAATTTTTAAAGCTTGTCAGTTGTTTCCTTGGTATTCGAGCTACTCTACCCGAACACATGGCCCGAAACAACTATGTATGTCGTTTCTGTAAAGTTCTTTTCCGGAATAGTTGTATATTTTCAATTGGTATCATGCATATAGCCTATATGTTCTACCTTTTGGGGGGAGTAGTGAGAGACATAAGACCATAGGAAAACAAGCATTGTAAGATTTCCAACGATCTCCATCAAAACACTTGATGACGGTAGTGGCTCATCATTCCTGGCGTTAAACTTAAAGCCTCACAAGCCATACCCGGATGCCTGGAAAATTTTCAGATCTAACGATTCAATCCAAACCAGCATGCAATAATAAAGCTTGTCAGTTGTGTCATGATATCCGTTCTTCGAAATTCTAAATTCCTGGAGAAAGTTTTTCCGTCGAATGAAGGGGTGGTGGATCCTCGTACTTTGTTTCGCTAAAGTGTCTAGATTGGTATGGAATATAAAGAATGGGAGAAAAACGACGAATCATGAATAAGATACTGAAGACGGTGAGATGATCCAAATTTCGAGGAAAGCCGAGGTATAGGTACGAGAGGACAGAAATACAGAAGTGTGCTGTTTTGGGGAGTCTATTCCGTGGTGGATACGAGGGATGGTTGCGGCAACGGTAATTGATTGTAGTTTCCTGGTACCTTTAAGATACTGTGATTGCTTCATTTGAAAAATTGGACGACCTTCTTGTCAGCAGGATGATCGAAATTTACTGGTCTAGTTACGCCCGTACAAGTAGAAGAAGTCTCGATTCCCTCGCTTCGGAGACGATTCCGAGTAGTGGATCGAGTGGTGGCTCTTGAGTCTTGACGAGATAGATATTACATAGATCTGCTCTTCTTTTCTTTTTTCTTTTTCATCAGGAGATTGTTCGGTTTGCCCCGGTACACAACAGGGGCACAGCGGCAACAGGTACATTTGTTGGAAGGAACGCTCGCGTCGATCAATGTTGGCTACCCAAGCTCTTGAGTCCTAAGCAAGTACTGGAGAGTCGTGATAATCAAGGCTCAAGCACAGCACGTTGCAGCTGATCATGACTTGCTTCTCTCGATAATGCAAGAAATGCGATTGGGGCAACGTTACATGTGAATGGAGCTTTACAGATAATGTAGAACTTTTACCACAGAATTTCCGTGTCAGGTCGTTGGCAGAGATATGTACACGAGTTTCTCAGCTCCATAACAATATGCAAAGCTGAAAAAGCTCGTCTTATGTTGTGGGGACTCCACCTGGGGATAAAGTGGGAGTGGGAAAGTGGGTGAACGCATGAATGTCACGTGAATCGGTAAGTCAATGTCTCGTGACTTGTGATGGTCCACCACCAGGTCGGTCATTGGTAAAGTACTACTCCGTGCCGTGCTTTACATGAATTTTGGGAATCATGAGAAACATCGAATTGATATATTTACTTTTATAAAAGTAGAACGTCGCCTATATAATCTCACGACTCGTAACTGCAATAAGAAGAATGAGAGTATGTACTCTGATTCCACTCTAGATTCTAAACCGCGACTACTCTCTTCTTTTCGACTCCAAAGCTCCAAGTTTTATGGTGTTTATACAGTTTCTGTACACGACAAATTTCCAAAATGAAGTCAACAACATGCCTCAGAGTTATTCCTTGAGTGAGAGAACGAACATATCCGGATGGCTCTTTTCCAATATATCTTTCTAAGTCAAACATCACAGGTAAATCTTTTTCACAGAATATTCATCCATTTCAATACTGTAAGTAAAACTTTCTTCAAAAACCTGTCTCGGTTCAACCTCGTCAGCGAGGTGGCTCTCTAGCTTTCGCTTTTGAAACAATCCGCGTTGCGAACACGAACAGCTTGATCGACCCTGAAATGTCAATCTAAACCACTTCTCAATCGCAACACAATTCATTTGAGCTTCTAGTCCAGCTCGAACCATAAACCATTGAATTTACTAATCTCAACTCCAAATAATACCATTTCAACGTGGCATAATGTCTTGTAAGTACCACTTCTCCCTTCCGCCACAACCCCTTCATCAACTAACATTACCCGATAGTTCTCACAACAACCCACCAAACCCTCACTGTCACCCCTATCCCTCCTCATATTCCCAAGGCCCAGGTGCTTGCCCTACTACACAACCATTCGAAAATGATAAGCTTGAACCCCCTAGTAACATCCCACACTCTCCTCCCACCCACGCATATCCTTGCCGTCGATTTCTTCAAAACCGAGCCCCCATCCCTCCAACCAAGCACTTCGTGTCCCTGTGAGATTTGGGAAGTAACAGATGATATGTCCGCTGCGGAAGGTGACAATGGAGGAGGATGGCGCGGTGGTTGGGCAAAACGATTTGTCCCCGACCAAATCACATATACATCGAGTCTCCAAGATCGCGAAGACGGATTACTTAGTGTTACGCATGCGCCAATGGGGGTACATAGTGTGACGACGTGGATTGTGAGGGAAGCGGGGCCCGGGGAAAGTTCGTTAACGCTTGGGGAGGGGAGATTGGTGCTCGAGGAGAGGGGAGTTGTGAGGGCGAGTAGAATGTTGATGGGATTTATAAAGACGACCTTGCAGGAGAGTGACGAGAAGTTGGTAAAGGACTTCATGAGGGTTTTGAAGGAGAATGGTGCGGATGGAGAAGAGGTGGAAAATGGGGCGAAGGGAGAATTGTAGGTCAATGGCTAGATAGGGGTTGTCATGGGGAGATGTTGAAATTCTGCAGGAAATGGAGTTTGGCGCCATGCTTTACTTAAATAAAGTAAGTAAAGATTTCTTTGTAAGGTAATTTAGCGAGCAAATCAGGAAACATAGAGCGAAATCTATGAATGAATGTACACCTAGAACCACTAAATTTCGTCACCTAATATGATGTCGATTCGCAACTTCTTATGCATCGTGCTTTCCACAATGCCTTACTCTCTATCGCCATCTCTATGCTTAATTCTTCACGCCCTCATCTTTACTTCATCATGTCCGCATCCGAAGTTGGGTGAATAATGCAAGGCATCAATCCACAAGAGTCAGGTTATATCTAGAGCGCATACCCAAATCTTCCCGACCTAGTCTGAGATTGTTTACACAAATACATACTTTCAAGATGCCTAGTATCAGCATACATGTTATCTCCACAAAGAAAGAAAAAAACATATTGCCACGCATCGAGTGTTAAGCTTCTGCAGACTTCCTCGGTGGCGTATCAATCATTGTAGTTGGGGACTCCAGCTACTACTGTACTTACGAGTTGCAAATTTTTGGTCTTCTTACTATTGGCTGCCGCTGCTTTTATTATTTCCTCGCATTTTAGTGCGTAAATCAATAGGGAAATACTAGGGAATGGGTTTGGATGTTTTGGAGGATGTGAGGAGAAGAGATGCAGGAGAATGGTGTTTGTATGTTTTTGGTCATTGATGGTGGTGGAGATATTGAATGTTTGGAGGTTGAGTTGTATTTTCATGGTTGTGTGAAGCTGGATGCTTGGGGTTTGTGAGGTGAGAAGGAGCTTGGCTTATAGGGGAGGGGGGTTAGGTTGGAGGATTCTGGATGGGTGTTTTGAATGAATAGATTGGTTAAGAATGTATTGCGTTCCGAGAAGCATGGTTTAATGTGAGCTGGGATGGTTTATTATTATTTCGGTATACTCCACTAGAACCAGATAGCTATTAGAGCGTAGTTTACGAGATTTTAGAAATCGAAGATGAAGAATACATGGAGAGAAGCTTGCTTGAGTTGAATTGACTCAGTCGGCTGAACGTTTCACATTATTTGTTATTCTTCTACAAAAGATATATGTACACTGTTGCTCACGCTAAACAATTACTATTTTCTAACAAATTACATATGGCGATATATACTAGTTAAGATAATCATACTCTTCCTTAAGTTTTCCGAATCCGATTCGAGGCTGATAGTTTTCCACCCTATTTCCACCAAAATCAAAGACAGAGTAATGTCTTCTCAAGAAATCAGCGCCGAGAAGAGAAAAGGTGCTTCCACCACTGTTATCAATAGGTGGCATACACTGTTCACCCGGTGTCAAAAACTCATCGCCCCTAACCGAAAACGTCACATCGTTACTCTCATCATCAGTCTCTCCAAATGTGAAAGAAATAGCCCATGTGCTATTCATATGCTCACACTGCATTCTCTCTTCTCCATTGTCCAATTTCGTGAGATTCCACCCGAGATTGAAATAAAAAGCGTCGACCATAGACGAGGGAATCGAGATGCGTCCGGCGCCGGTATCGAAGACGGCAGTTCCAGCTCCGAACATGGGCCAGGTGGTATTAGATTTAGGGTAGGTATTTGCAGGTGCGTTTGTCGATGGAAGTTTACCGTTGTGTACGGTTACAGTTTGATTTTCGCGAGCGGCAAGGACATTAATGGAGCGGAGTGGTGCACGCCAGAGCTCATATGGAGTTTCCACGCGGAGAGGCGTATATACTACTTCCCCATCCACATACACATCTTCATGACTTCCGCCAATGGTCAAAACACCATCTTGAACACCGGTGTTGTTGAGGTTCGTTCCATAGAAGAGAGCAAAACGAGATTCATCAAGTTTGTCCTCCCAGAGAAGCGTCTCCACAAGCGAACTCGTCTGATTCTCCGCAACGGAGGAGAATCCCAAGCCGAGAAATCCATCGGCGGTGATCCAACGCCAACTACTTTGCTCTGCAGCCATGAAAGTTTGATTCCAACTCAACGTTCCTTTCTCATCTGAAAATACATCAGAGAATACATAGCCGGCGAGAATATCACCGTCAATATATGGAATACTGTCATACTGGTTCACATAGACAGAAGTAGACGAATCCGACTCATTGTATGGAGTTCGGACGAATGTGGTAAGCTTGGGACATGAAGTATCTGTGCAATTGCGTCCGGTGACCCAGGAAGTGGTGGATCCGGTATCGAACATGAACCTGTATGGTTTTGCTGGAGTGCCAACTTCAAATTCTACCGAGGACTAGAGCAATTTCTTGTTAGTATCCATTTTGAGGCCAAAGTAGTGTAACATACATATGTATCTAGGATATGAACTGGCAACTCCAGAACAGCCGCTGAAGCAGCAGCCGTTAAGGCGAGTAAAGTAAAAGTACTCATATTGTCCGAACTCTAGACAATGAATGAGCAAAGTGAGTGAATGTTGATCTCAAAACTATGTAGAACAACACGAATCCTCCTGTTTATATATAATTTCCATTTCCATCACGTACCAATCCGAGCATTCAATGGTTACGAAAAAAGAAATGTGGGGCAAATACGATCCCATTAGTTGATAGCGTACCGGCATACACGAGAACCCCTTTACAGCTCATCTCACCATTCAATAGTGACATTCGCTCCAGTTTTTAAGCATGCGTTTATGCTTTTACGAGAAATCTCGGTACTGGATTTGTTCATTTAATCTTCTTGAAACGATGCGATATAAATTGTAGATATTAAGGGATGATGGCACAAGTCCACTGAACACCAAAGCCAACCCCATAAAAGATCAAGATTTGACCGCTCAAGAAGTTCATGCAAAACTACAAAAAAAGTCATATATTAGCATACATATTAAGATCAATTATAAACACATGCAATGATAATCCATCTTTTCATCCCATACGTGATCTCCATAGTTTTTTCATTACTATAAGATTGGGTTATTGCAGGACTTATTGTGCTTGCATATCTCTCGAGGTAAATGTATGCAAAGAGATCATGCTGAGATAGATATTTATACACATCAAGAATAGAAGCCGAGCGGACCATACTTGGGTCAGACCACTTATACAAGCTCAGGTTGCTACGGGTTCAAAGCTATACAGCGGTGAAGTTATCAAATACTGGTTTGTATTTTTTAGATTCATGACTGGTGTGGATCATCGTCTTATGCGCCCATGAGAAGAATGTGCAAAAAGGAGCAACCGTTGACAATGATGTCTTAACTGGTGCAAACATCTCGCGACAACACTAAACTCAACTGTGGATTTTTCCATTATCATTGCTACTACCATCGCCAACTTTCATCGTGTCTTGTGTATCATATAGCCCGTTCTCATCTTTTCCCCTTTTCAATTTCTCCACCCAATATCAAAACCCCTTTATACACCACAAACAATTCTATCAATCCTCACGTAGACCACTCCTTATACCCCTTCTGCCTCTGTCTCGTATTCCATCCTAGCTTCCCACTGATACTGTTGACCCAATCTTCACTCCTCCTCCCTTGAGGCATCACATTAGCGAACGGATAGCGACTAGCACTAATCGTCACATAATCGCCTGGGTTCAATTCCACCCTCTCTCTTCCATCAAAACTCGCCCAACTACTCGTTCTCGCATCGTATGGAACGCCCAGACGAAGAACGATAGTATCTGGGAGGATGATGGGACGGAACGAGAGAGTATGTGCGCAGATGGCTGATACGAGGATGACAGGGTTTTCAGGATGGCAGAGAGAGCCACCGGCAGCGAGATTGTAGGCTGTGGAGCCAGTGGGTGTGGCAACGCAGACACCATCCGCTTGGACGGAGGTGAAGTGTTCATCGTCGCCGAAAATCTCGATGGAAGACATGGCTTTTGCGTGTAAGTACTCGCTGACCAAATTCTTCACTGTCATGTGATATTTACTTACTAGGATTTGGTCCTCGATCAACCACAATATCATTGAGAATCTCATATGTACCATCTGGTCGATGAGTTCTCTCGTCTCCCATTTCCTCGCCCACCAACTCCTCCACTAAGTCTCGTTTCGGGGTTGCGTCCTCATCACCATTCTCGCCATCCGTAACGGTCTTGGGTTTTCTTGTCTGGCTCCTCATTACCGTACCTTCGAACCTTAACCTGAGACTGATAGTGACTCCATCTCTAAATGCAGTGGTTAATTGTTTCTCGAAATCTCCAAAATCGAACTTGGTTAGAAATCCTAGACTTCCCAGCGCAAAACTTAAAACTGGAGGTACAATTCTTTGGAACAGCCAGCTCGCATAGAGGACTGTCCCATCACCGCCCAAGGTAATGATGAAATCAAATGTATGCGGTCTCGTCCTGCACATATTTGATGACCAGTATCTCAACCTCTTGTGTTTATCACCATTAATTTTTCCATCTTCAGCCTCCTCCAACTCATCCAGTAACCCTTTCGCGTCGAACTTCTTACTATCCCGTAGGTTTTCCTCCACGAAAACCGTGTACCTGACCTGTCTTTCTGGACTTAAGAGCCATCTGGTAACCTCCCTGGTATTTGCAATCAAGCTCTCATCATGCACCTTTGTAAGGATGAAAACCGTTCTAACTTTCAGCTTCAACCTGATACTCCCCAGCCTCTTACTCAATTCCCTCACTCCCCAAGCCATATCCGAGAGTTGTTTCTTTGTGAGAAGTCTACTGTGCGTTGCGCCCGCATCCACACCATCAGGTTGTAATTGCACCTTCCCACTTGCATCATCTTCAATCGGCTGCATTGCATCTTTCGCTTTGAAAGTATCTCTCCAACATGTTTCATCAACCTGTCCGCAATCTTCCTCTTCATTATGGTTGTGCATTTTTTTATCGACCACCGCATCTTCTTTGTCATCAGTTTCATCCTTTCCACTTGCGATTCTGCGAGAAGCCAGAGTTTCTGCTATTCCCTCCAAACCACTATTTGATGCCCTCCCGCTTTTTCTCTGACTTTCGAGTAATGCGTGTACATAACATTCTGTGTTCTTTCTTCGCTGGAAAGTGGCTGCGGGTGTATCGGCCGTCACGAGAGACGATTTCCTACGATGCGCATTTTGAGCATCGAAAACTACCTGTGAGAAGAGGGTGTCTCGTAAGCTCAAATGATTCCGCAGGTGAGAGGGAAAATGAGAAATAGATTTACCTCCAGCGCATGTTGATACTCTGAATCACTAGCACTTGAATGTCCCTGACAATGTTAGTTAATGCGGAATTATCTTGACTTTTCAAGCTCTCAAATTGCTATGCCATACATCCTCATGAGCATCAAGCTGATCCCTACTTGGAAGAGATATGTGCTGTGGTGCTGAATTGGCCATCTGTTCGATGATTATCAATTCTTATTCTTCCAATTGTATTGTGTTGTCTTTGGATCAATTATCAAGGAATAACAGAGATTAGAAGCTGGAATATTAATAATTTGGCAATGACGCTCTAACAGCTACCTACCCCTCATAAGCTTAGATGTTACTGAGGAATGTACGAATTCAGAGGCTCTCTTTCATGGAATTCTATGAAAAAATTCACTATGGTAAAGGTCTACTTGGGATTCTTCCTAAGGGTTTGACTCCCTCTGACTTGTATCAGCCGTGATAGTTCTCCCTGGAAAGTTGAATCCATGATTATCAAATCGATTCAATCCAATTCATGAAGTTTCAAAATGCATGTCATTGATTACCTCACTACAATGAACATTGGCATTTAGGCTTTCGACTGATACCATTGGTGTACCTGTCGAGCCTGTTGTCCAATACCTAGGCTCCCTATCACCCCACACCCGCCAATGTCAGCTTCATCGATAAGGAATAATGAAATGTCATCGATAAATATTACTATGCCTCTTCAACACATGAATGCAGGAGGAAAGGGACGAGTATGGTCTTTGAATTCTTCAAATTAGGATCACCTATTTGATATGGGCATTTTATATATATTAACCTCTATGCATACTACACAAACCTTCCTGTTTTCATGTCAGAGTATCATTAATTGGATGTTCTTCCCTTACCCCTTCATCGTCGCTTCACCCCTCCCTCAGCCAAATACATGTGTCTAGTACAGTTCAACGGCAATGCTAACAATGCAACCGACGCAGCATTGCAGCACTGCAATACATAGTTGGATGACTGTATCAAAACCATGTTCTCATCCATTCATCGCCCCGAGTACAAATGAAAATGGAGGGAGATCCTAGATTAAAGCTATGAAGGATGGCGATGATCAAATAGATTGACTTATCGCCTACTCCGTTCGGAAGTAAGTGCTTCGTAAATTTGTACACATCGGCTTCATTCACATACATCCTAACCATGAAATCGTTGTTACAGTGTATAGCGTATAAGTATGCGTATGTATGCCTGTGGGTGTGGAGTTGGACCTTGCATTTACGTTATCTGGATCTGGATGCTTTTCATCTAATTTTCAAAGCAAACATGGTTGAAAGAAGTAATGAGCACGTTATTCCATTTATTTCCCTTCCCACGCAACCCACACCTGTACAGAGAGAATCTCATGATCTCGTGCCTTGCTAGTTTTTTCCCCCTGGATCACATCGACCTGACTGTTCAAGCAACCTTAACCTTTGATGCCTACACCGATAATAGCCCAATGCGTCCACACTTGATATCTTGGATGCGGATGCGTTGTACAGCACCAAAAAACGCTCCAATGCCCATCCTTCGCACCCTTTCACCAACCGAAAGAAAGCAAAGGGTAGGAAAATCACCCACCCTTAGGGACAACCAACCCACTTCCGACTCTATGACACAAATCCAATTCCTTTCTTCCAGGGAGATGCAGAGAAAGTACGAGTTCAATACCAGCAGGACACCTGGTGCCATACCCATTTACTCGACTGGAAACGTCTCCCGTCGGATCATGCATTGCTATACTACCGCCCTACCTTCCTTCGTTCCCGTAAGATGCCAACTCGATGCATACAGAAAGTTGAGTGAGACGATCAACCATCCTATCAATCTCGGTGAGAACGAAACCTTTTAGTAAAAGCGCCCAGTCACCAACCAGTCTCATCAACCATACATCGTACGAAAATTGTTAGGATGCCGCTTGCTTGCTTTCATTGAACCCTTTCCAATAACATCGTAACATTGAGTTCATTTCAGCACCCAATTCAACCATTTATCCCGTAGTTCGGAACCATCAGCATTTCCGAACACGCCCATCCATAGATTTTCTCACATATGCTCCATCGTATCTTACAAGGCGATATCCTTACACTCACTCAATCAATCAATAAACACGAATGTCATTTCACGGGAAAAGAGGCTATACCAGCTGCAGAACGCGTGTACCAAAGTTTAGTCATGCTATGGCATACCGTTCATCCGATGTTAATTTACACTCACTATCCCATACGGCACATCAAGCACACCTATCCATACCATTCATGTAAACATACCGAGCCCACCAAGAAAGACCGAACAATCTCGAATCCAGCTCATGAGCCAAAACGTTATGTGGCTGAGTTCTTGGTATTTTCGTGGTGGTGTACATCAATCTAAATCCAATGGTACTTGCCTTGCCGTTGCCGTGAAAATACCACATTATAAATTACAGTATCGAAATCTTGTTCCCTGTCGAAGCTGTTGAGCCTGTCAAGCCGAAATCCCCTTATCGAATATGATATGAATTACGAACCGCAACCTCCGCAACCTCCGCCACCACCCAAGCTCGTGATGTTGTTGGTCCACTACCACGTATGTTCGTAAATTGTGCTCATCTCAACTTGTAGGCTCGTAACTTTCGTACTCGAGTATCACCGAAAGAAGTTCGAGACCTCCAGGATATGACCTCCACATACAGCAGACGCTACACTACCGTGGGACCGGTAGGTACCGTAACTATTATTGGCTATCATTACACAATGTTTTTAGATAAACTAAAATCATAGGCTAGGAATTTGGCAAGTGAATGTCCATCATTCTGTCATACTGTGGTCCACGGTCCATGGAGTATGAAGTATATAGGATTAGGATTGCTTCAGCTGTGTGTGTGACGCTCATGTGTCGAAACGCTTAGATGGCTCTCATCTGGGTACTCATCGGGAAAGAAGTCGAAATTGGTCACTCACTAATCCATTCATTCGATATTGCTGCATTGTCACTGCCCCTCTCCCTCCTTCCCAGGCTTCGATACTTCTATCCCTTCCTTCAAGTTCCTTGCCATGAACATTTGATGGTGGGGAATACATGAGCACCGAGAGATCTCCTGGATTTAGATTTGGTTAATAAAGTAAGGTTCATCATGACAACCGGGTTCCATTAAATTTCACGCGGGCCCGGAATTTATCCTTGCGATAATTGTTGGATTTCAAAGTTTTAGACAATTACATAGGCCAATAATAGTGAGTGGTAATGAAGGGGTTTTGACGATTTCGACTATTGATAGCATGGACAATTTCATCATGATTGTAGATCCACGAGACATGATTCATTCGTCGTGATCTCTTGGTAAATAAGCATCAAACCATGCTCGCCATGATATTCCGCTTTAGCTACACAAAACTCACGCATCTAATTAACTTCGGAGAGTGCTTGCGGAACTTACTGCGGAACTTTAGTTTGCTGCGTACATAGAAGTTAAAACAAGGGTCTCCAACTTTTCCACACCTAGCCTCGCGAGCTAGATACCATTCGTTACTTTTTGCTCCGTATTCCCTCTTATCCACAATCCTACCCTTGAACCTACCTATGAATCTCGATATGAAGATGCTACTATGGATTGCTACGATACCAGGTACAAACATCTCGTCTCCGATCAATGCTGGTGTGCTGCATTCCATCCGACCGTTGTTTGCATTTCACTCGCATCCATGGACATTCATCAAGAGCTGAAAATGTCTTGTATCCGTGCTGTTCGTACACTTACTTCATGCTGAGTGTGCTGAGCGGAACACGCGCCTTAAACAGAAACAGAAAACAAAACCCTGAGCCCTTCTTTCACATGATGAGGTTGTATCACATCAATCAATTTTGATTACGGTGTTCTGCTGTGATAACCTCAGTACTGGGGTGATGATGATTCTCGTGATGCTGGTAACCATTTGACTAGAATTCTATTTTGTCCTTCAGTACTATACCAAACGCCCCGAGCACAATCTAGATGAGAAACCCAAAAGCTATCGAAATCTAACTGTTAGGTTTCATCAATGCAAAAGAAGAGAGTACGAAAGTTCAACACAGGTTCAAACACCGTAAACACAAATCACCATCGTGTTTCTCTTTGACCTCTGTGTGTAATCGACCGTCAATCAGCCATAGGTTCCACAAGCCCTTTAAGGCAATTTCCATCACTCGCGCCGGCATCTCTGTATTAGATTGCCTATCAGGTGGGCACAATAAACTCACTTGTTTACCTCTTCAATGTAACACGATGGGGTCGTTCCAAACACATCACTTAATAAAGCCAGTCATAACTTGGCTTACCTTACCCTGTTTTACTTTCCGAACTTACTCATTCTGTTACTGTATGCTTCGCCCTGGTCCAGCGAAAGGAGTTTGGGCCGAGATAGGATGCAAGCGTCTGCAACGGTGCGAAAGCCGAGACCATCTATAATTGACAAAGGTGTTGCAATAATAAAAAGATCGGCTGGCACTGGTTACGCAGCATCTCCATCGGCCACGGCGAACGAGGATCAGGATGTATGGATGTATGTTGGAATTGAAGGTTTCGAAAAAGGCTCGCATAAGGGTGCGATGACCAGAGCGGGAATTGATTAACTTGAGAGTGGGTTACGAGTTTGAAAGTTTTTAAACCTACCGGGTCTAACACAATAGATCGGATCAATTATGATGGCTGATCAGTGTGAGATGATGCTCAAATAATGCTCGTTTTTGATTCATTTAGAGCATCCGTCTTACTAAGTCATCGTAGATTCAAACCATATAGCATTCAACTATTGGTTCTGGTCTTTAGGATGATATATCGGTCAATATGCTGTATTTAGTTTGGGCATTCAAGGAGCATAAAGGATTACTAGCTCGCCTGGCTATATTGAGATTGAAGCTTACATGAAGGGCAGCATTAGTATAAAAGAATGGTCGGTCGACTAGCAAATCCAGCGATCCCTCAAAAATTCACCAGGGTCTCAATTCCTTTTCAGCAACCCGAGCTTACACCCGCTGCCTGTCTCCAGGAAAAAGGTAGGTGTAGTAAGAAAGCCAAAAAGGAAGGCCGGTCCCAGTCCCAGCCTTGTCGACCGGGATGCAAATTTTTCTCTTGCTGAATCGCTATTCGGAGCGAAGCGAGGGGATGCGGCATGGGATACACACACACTGTGCTATGATGATGTCTCGAGCGTTTAAGATCCAAAAAAAAAAGTGTGGTAAAGTAAGCAGACCCTTGCTTGCGCAAGAATGGTCCGTTCTAAACTTCTAGATCCTAGATTCTGTCATCTCCAAATATCTTCATCCTTGGAAATATGGACATGAAATTCGTGGCACGGGTAAGAGAAACACGATCGACAATAGAGGGGAAAAGCAAGGGGAAACTGTGGGCATTAGAAGAAAGTGACACATGGGTGAGATCTACTTTAGCGACTAATGAAATAGACTCCTATCGAATAAAGTCATTGGCATCATCATGAACTTTGTGTCGTTTTACGCGTCATTAGGCTTAGCACTATAGATGCTGCAGTCAACATAATACTGATTCATTTCGTACTAGCGAGCTAGCCTTTTTCTTGTAATAGTACAAGTTTCCAAGGGCCCGGCTCATATACTGGTGAACTGGGATTATTGCGGGGTGGTCGCACAAGCATACACAGTGTATTATACACTAGACAAAGAATTTCCGATTATGGCCCCTTTTGGTTTAAAGCTCGAAAGCAAAGAGATGCAAGAGAAAATTTCATCTAATTGTTGATTTGTTGACTCCACATAAGGGAGGGTATCAACGTAGGTTGAGGTTGAAAGCTAGGTAGGTAGCAAGCACTATATCCTCGCCGCCATTTCCGTGCGTGTTGTCTAAAGAACAGATAGATCATCGTGAATTGTGGTTTGATACTGTAAAAGCAATCACTTACTTGGATGACTATTATACCTGCCAGATTAACACCTAATCGGTTTCACCGCCTGGGGTGCTGTAGCATTTTCATGCTTTGCTTTTTCAATGTCATGTCCCTTGCGAAACATATTTAGTTGTTTAGTGCATTTCGAATCGATATAAGCTCCGTGAAGGTAGGGAACGTATCGAATAATTCAACGCTTGGCAGCTTCATTCTGAAGAATCCTAGAAGCACGGACTGGTTGTAACGAGGGGGTAAGGGGCGATTAAGACAAACAAACACAACCTTGGAATTCAAGCGCCCTTCTTAGGGTCTTCGATGACCAAACAAAGCCTCATCGAGACTGCTTCCGACCAGTGCATGCCAACATGAGTCTAAGACGTTTTTGCTTCTCATTATTATGGATGATCTGCTTACTACATGCCGGTCTTAGTTATTATTGCACATGCATGCAATTTGTACTTGTGCGTCTGGCTTGTACCTCGCCGCGGGTTCATGCTCCATCAATGAAGTTGCTGAATCTGTGCATTAATGATTGCTTTGCCTTCTGGCTGCTGATTAGGCCTCGATATGCATAGTGCATTTGCATTATGTGATAACCATAAGCCCGTGAAGTCCATGGATCATGGGAAATTGATATCCGAGAAAATCTACCGCTGTAACTTAGCATAGGTTTCCACCCACACATATATAATTTGGGTGCCTTGGTCTCAAACTTAGAAACGCCGTCGAACAGGAATGGCAATGACCAATATTTCAAGATCATCGTGCTTTCGTGACGATGGGATAACGATTGACAATTCTTGACGCACCTGAAATTATCACTTCGTTCCTTAAGTGGTTCCATCCGAGTCCTTTTAAGTTTTCTTACTTATCACACTAATGGAACTGTGGCTCATAGTTTCAGAAAGAGGCTTTTTCGATGCTGGTCGATGCATATCATTGGATGTTTCGTGATTAGCACTTTTTCTTCTATGGTGGCTGGTTCATGGATTGTTCGCAATCCCCTAGCAAGATCCATCCACATCCACATCTAATCGATTATCCTTACTTAGCGAACCCTAGTACAGACTAATACATGTAAAGTTTTTCCACGCAAACCTGGATCTCAAGGATGTTGAACGGTCGGTGATTTATTTCTGCATCATCCCATTCCCAAATTATGACTGTACTCAAAATAAGTTTAGTTAGCTGCTGCTACTCGCGTTACCGCTGCCCCACTCTCTCCGCCGTCAAAAGTCTCGCCTTCTTTCCCATATCGAATATAGCGTACAAAGCGTGTGTTGGTGTTATACAATAAGGCAAAAGGAAAATGTGCGTTACCCCATCTGCATTTCATCAGAATTTTAATATATGGAGTATCTGACAGGATTGTTTGACAATGTACTCGCTCATTTGATAGCTTATGCCATACACATCTTTGAGAAAGAAAAAATATTACGCGGTGAGCTCGGAAAGTCATATTAGCCAAGATTCAATTTGTAGTGTGTATTAGATACAATATGGGGTATGTAGAATGAGTCGCGTTTGCCACTTAGATGCTTCATGATACCTACCTAAGTATCATGACCATGCCAGGTCTAGATACATTGCAGTTGGTCGGTAGCACTGCATTTCATTGTTCGTACTATTGTTCTGCTTTGCCAGTCCTGTGCGGTTCTACCTAATCGTATTGACCTGCAATACGTACTCTTAACTAGGCTACTATTACCTGAGCCGTCTTTTTAATAGTTGGTTAGCACAAGATTAGTACCAGTGAACCTTCGAGGCTTCCCAATGGAATGACCCTCCTCATAAACTAAATGACCGAGGGGTTCTTCATGTACGGAGTACTACGGAGTTTAGGTTGAGCCATTGGAATGCTTGCCCAGCTTGCCCACGTTTTGTGATGGACCATCGATGGGGCCGAGAATTTGACTAAATTCCACAATTTAACATGTGCACTAACGACAGTATCGAAAATATCCACATACAAAAATTTCCAAAGGCGCTGCGTCAGTACGGGAAGGCCACATATTTGGCTTAGATTGATATACTAATTATGCTAAAGGTTCATCGCACCCATGCAAAGCACATCAAGAAGAGTGGCATCTGGCATTTTTGGACCCCGTCGGCTACTTGATATATACACCCTTGAAAAATGGAAATTCATCCCACCCTTGTGCTGATACAACCTGACCGCCTTTTCTCGCCCTTCTTCCTCGCAAAGCAAGTTTCTCCTGTTTAGGAAGTTGATTCATCGTTTGACACGCACCATTTTGATTACCACACACCTGGGGCGAAGGAGCCTCGTACGCGATATGTATCCAGCCGCGGGATGTAGCTTACCCCCTGGTCTTCTTTTGTACCGCTGGCTTTTCGAATCTGTGTATGTTGCAAGCCAGGGGCTTTGACTTTTGACCGCCAACAAAGCCCTGGTGTCTAGCATCCCCAGAAGAAGCTCAGACCCGGTAAATTCCCTATGATTTAATCCTTACACATTCGTGGGATCAGCCATATGACACAGACGACATACCGCAACCTTACGGTAAGTCACTTGCATATTGGTCTTTCAAATTTGTACTGCCGATATTTAATCCTCACATGGAAGATTGGGTAGGGTCTTTTCCTATAATTTAAGTTTAGCATTCTCTAGTTCAATTCATATCAAGGCTATGATACTTAGACTACTAACGTCCAGTTGACGTTAGTTCATATACTACCTTATACACCTCCACCAACCCCTCCTCAACTTGCAAACATTCTCTTTCATACTATCTTCTCTCTTGTACGATATCACAAAATGGATTCAGCTTATGCTACTTCAGCATATGGAACGAACATGATGGCTTATGATGACAATGTTCGGATGTTTCTGGAAAACGTTTCGAGGCAAATGGCTCAACCTTCACAGTCTCGAAATCGATTATCTATATCAAATGGACAGAGAAATATGGCACCAATGCGAGTCACCAAACCGAACAGTACCAACAACAGCCCACGATGCTCCATAAAACAGAACCGACGCAGGACTCTCATGTCAGATGGCTCATACCAACGACAGATGATGATGCTCAACCAACAACAGCAACAGCAACAGCAACAAATGATGACGACTAACGAATGGGAATCGAACAATGGACTTCCAACACAGATGCCAATGAGATCTAATCGTCCTGTTAGTTGGCATCCATCCACACAACAACAGATGTACCAACCAGTACAATCCACCAGTGGATACCCATATTCCCAGGAGTATTACAACTTTGATGCCTCAACACCAGCCGTCTACTCAGGATACGGATCACCAGACTCCAGCTTTTCTCCCATGTCAATGCCTTACAGTGAGGATCATCAAGACTCATACCCATTCGACACCGCACCTACCTCATACCCACTCGATCAGGCATACACCCCAGAGCTTACACCATTAGAGAATCATATGATGTCTGTTCAGGCTCCATACACAAACAATAACCAAGATCCAACAATGTATTCACATTTTGATTGGAACAACTTTGCCGCAAATGGATTCGAGGATGGTACCGCCCCGCCTACACCAGATAACTTTCTACCTATTCAACATCCTGAACCCACCTTCACTCCAGAGGAATCGATACCATATCACCCACTGTCTGATGACGAACCAGAGGGTGAGGAGTTGATTGGTATGGGATTGTACGATACTCCAGACCATAGCAAGATGACATTGTCAGATCCTCAACTTGACAACTACCGAATGATGTCATCACAGCTTCTCGGCAACAGTTATCGTCGACCCGAAGGAGCTGGTAAAGGCTTGAAGCTGGAGGAGACATGGCAACCACCCGCTGAGAAGGACGACGACAAAGATGACGAGGAGGATGGTGAAGGGGAAGATGAAGAAGAGGAGGAAGTTGTACCCGAGAAACCTACACAACTGGCTGATACTACCACTTATATGATGGGCACTACACAGCCCTTCCCCGACTTCGATGGAAGTTACGCAATGAATTATGCAGGCTGGATCTGATTGAAAGGAGCATGGAACTTTGGATGGGAAAAACTTTATGACTTTGAAATTTAGCGATGGAGTTGGATTGGATTGGGTATTGGGATTAGCTATATTGGAGCATTGGAAACTATAGGATCATGTCAGCAATGACTGGAATGAGCACAGGCTCAATGTTGGGATGGGATGTATCAAATTCCTGCTAGGCACTTGTATTCAACAATGCCAACAGGTGAAGGAAGTATCTCCCCAAGAGGTTGATATGTATATGTATATAGATAGCTTAACACAATATCAATACCCCCGAATGAATTTTCGGATTTAACAGATAAGACAAAATTCTTTGATCCTCATTAAAAAGTGCTGGTGAACACGTGAATATCAATCAATACACGTGCTGTCACTTCCATTGGGTATTAGTCTCAACGCTAAAACTTCGGCTTTCAGATCACACGGAGGGCAGCAGCCTGGCAGCCTCAAGACTTTTCCTGGACGTCCTGAGGCATCATAGCAAGCAACTCAGCTCTGATTAATATTTTGGATAAACTTCAAACATTTCTCATACAATCGCAAGTCAACACAACGACTCCACCCTTCTTCGACGTATCTTTCCCAAACATTATCCTTCTCCACATAGTTTCTAAATACGAACAAACTATGGTTCAATTCGTAATTACGCCCTGGCGAACGCGTCGCGAGCTTCTCCAAGTGCGCGAAAAGCTTTACCAAAATACTGAGACAACCCCTCCTAATGATTCTTATCGTCGACAAGCCGTCTGCCTCATATCCGTATGGATGCAACGAGGAAATTGTCCGCATCTCGTCGAGTCCTCTGCGATCATTACTTCGGCTATTCTAAATGATGTTCCTGGAAATTCATCCTATTGTGTAAGAGCTGCTTATTCTGCTGCTTTCTGTCGGTACGTTGAAGTATTATCATGATCTATTCACTTATGACACCCGACTTATTCATTTTATGCTTGGTCATTAGTTTCGTTACAGGTCTCCTAGATAGTCATCAAGATAAACGTCGCAAATTAAGTATGTACTCAATTGCGAAAACAATCGGTCTACCAGCTACATACGTCGAACTTCGGCATCAGGCTACCCACGAAGAACTCCCATCACTTCCTAAACTTCGAATAGCTGCGCGCAAAGCATTGAAGTGGATTTGGGATTTTTACTGGGCAGATTTATCAATCGATGAAAAGGATGACGATTGCAAGATATTCGTACGAGGGGTTCTAGAGCGGAAGGATCAAGGAATAAATCTGAATATGATTAAGGATCGACTTGAAGCCTACGGGATAGACGAGCTTCTTCGTGCGCTAGGTGAACTGGAGGAATCTCTAGAAGACCCAATGACGATATTACAAGCGCACAATTTCCGACAGAAGATATCTGATTGGGAAGAATCTAAATCTCCTAAAAGGAAAAGCACATCTGTTCCCAATACAACCGCCCAAGATCTTAACGATATCCGAGCGGGAATGGTGAAAATGGAACATGATTTGGATACTGCCGCTGCATCCATACAAATACCTAAAGACGACAAATCTTCTGCAAATTGTACGGAGAAAGGCTGGTCGCGCTGGGAAGGGCCGTGGGTACCAAAACCAATAGGAGTGCTGTGATGCAAAGATTTGGATTGATGCCCAATATTAATGACCACGTGCCCCGGTGTATTATGCCCTAGTACAACGACCAAAAGCTCAACCCTACTGAAAGAAATCTTTAGCATCAAGATTGTCCTCCATGTTGCATGTCTCGAGCGTCGAATATGGCGGAATGAGCGGATGCTTCAAGAGTGGGGTTGAGATGTACAATAATCATCTCGTGCAGCATATATTTGGTTTAATGCTGGGGTGATGCGCGTTGAGCAGTTTCCGTTCTCCATATGGATTTGAATGCATTCAATGCAAAGCACCCGGATTGTGGCGGGTCAAGAAAGTTCTTTATGAATATGAGAGTTGGCAGAGGGGCTTATGCATGTAAGCCATTTCGATATTCCCAGTCAGTTACACCGTATTCTTCATGAATATTTAGCCATGGGATTATTCTTGCTTTGTCAGCATTATCTCTTTACACAATGCTACATTCCTCAACCAGACCTTGCGAGGTTGATATCCTTGAGCAAGATTCAAGATACATTGGTCCTTGACCAAGGGTATACGTCAAATGAGTATTGCCAAAATCCCCAAATTGTTACTATTTTTTATTACAAATTTATGTAGGTCGGTCCATTTTCAATTCTTATACACCCTTTTTTTTCGACCAAGTCGATTTACTGTGTAAGGTGCAGTTTCTGACAACCTGTCAATGGCAGCAAGACAGAGAGAGAAAGCACCGAGAATGGAAGTAGTTTTTTCTACCTCGCGGGCACGTCGATCAATTTCCAGCAATCTTACGTACATCAATTTGTGCTGATTTGGTATCTACTGGCATGCACTCAACTCATCTGCTTTGTTCCATATGGGCTCTCTTCACCGCTAGCTCCTCTCGGCTTCATTCTTTTGTCGGAATTTCCTAATAGCCGAGAACAATGTGAAGTTTGCGCAACGGATAAATGATTGCTATACTCGTGGTTTGAATTTTAGGCCTTTAACCGGGCTTGATGACGCAATGATTGTTTGTTAGGTCTTAAGAAAAAACACAAGAGCCTTCACGATCATAACTCCAGATCTCTAACTCTGAGATAGTGGGCTAAGAAGTTCCGTAATGAAATAAACGTAATAAAGTGGCTTCTGGGGCGGTGGACTCGTCTGCAGAGAACAAGACACTTTTTTAGCTGATAGGTTTCCAACTGTCTAGGTCGAGGTGGACCGATATAGAAGGACTCAGAATGTAAATAAAGAATCAGAGAGGGAAGTTGATTCATGCAGGTTCTTTAATCTTGACTTCCCTTCTTCGCATTCTAGTCTTGATAAAATAGTATTCATAATCAAAATAATCTCAAGAGCCAGTACCGTGTATCTTTCAACTGTATGATATGCTCACATGTATATTAAAAGCTACTCTTCTATACCTTACTCTTCCATCACCCCGGATCTATGACCTGCAGTGTGAAGGAGAAAAAAAGAATGAGCAAGGGAAGCCAAGTCCTGATTTACCTGATTAGTCTCGATATGACTGACCATCCGCTCGCTTCCTCACAGATGACTATATGTACTGCTAATACGAATGGGCAGTAGCGATAGCGATAGCAAAAGCAAAAGCAAGAACGTAATCACATACTCGGAGACTCAGGGTATCATTAAACTGAATATGTACTCTCTCCTCTCTGAGATACACCAAGAGGTATCGAATGGGAGGGAATGGAGTAGATAGGTTGACTTGGCTTTAGCAGAGGGAAGAAAAGAAAAAGAGATGGTTGGGGAAGAGTGAAGAGTGAAGAGAAAAGATCGGCTTTAGCTTGAGCTTAAGCTTGAGCTTGATAGTGATGAAGATGAGTGACAGAATCTCACTAGCTAGCCCTCTTTTCCGAGCTAGAGTTACCGTATTTTGAATGTGTAATTGCATGCATGGAATGGAAGAGCGAGAAGTTGGGGATAAAGATGGAGATGGAGACGAGGAGGTTGGGAGGTATCTTTCTTTTCCTTTTATATGCTAAAACAACCCGCCCCCTTATATCTCACAATCCTCCCCCCCCCCCAGCCCAGCGGGAGAGAATACGCCGAGAGGATGATATTACAGAGGAAGAAAAACCGAGAAAAGGAAAGAGGAAAGAAAAGATAAGCTAGTATCGCGACAAAGATCCAGTGTCGAGACTCAATATATCATATCACATACGCAAAATCTTCAAAATCGTATCTCTGTATTCGGTGGTAGCAAGTAAGCGAGTATACTGCACGTAGATCCATCCAGTAACTCCTCATCCCCAACTTCCACTCGAGGTCTAGATGAGGCAGATAAGAACATCGCATCTGGATTTTATGTTTCCCATCACACAATGCACATACATACCCGATCGTTCCGAACCGCCAGCCCCGGTGGAGAGATACTCTAAAGTTCAAACTACTGACTAGGAGCTGATATGATACATTTATTAATCGTACCTTGAAGAAAGAAAGTGCACAGGTAGATGGATATATCTATTCCCTATTCCCAATTTTTCGATTCCATCCCTGATTTTCATTCCCATTTCCTCAATTCTTAGTTCCCAATTCCTGCTTCTCGATTACCTCTTCTCCCTTGTCTCTCTCACCTAGCTACATATCCCAGTTATATTCTTCAGAACCAACGAGAATAGTTTTGCTGTGCTCTTTACATGTACAACTCTCAACTTATCGTGCATCCTGACAAGTATCCTGTCGAGCGTATGCGAAGTGAACACACCAGAAATAATCTACACGGTAGTCTCTGGTAGTTCAAATGCGTTTGTAATTTACTACTAGTACCATATACTCCCTCCAATTACATTCTCCAAGCTGGAAAAAATGAGTTGTTTTATTGCATATCTATACCCCTTCATATACAAGATAGCTTCTGACGAGCGTCCTGGAAAGCATATCGAAGGCTGGGTGCTAGAGATAATCTACGGAGTAGTGTCTTTTGGGTCGAAATGTGTTAATTCCACGTGGCGTCTGCGGGGATATTTACTTACATTGCAAAGATTGATTATATTTATTAATTATTAGATATGTATGGTGCTTGTGAGATTGAGTAGAAGTTTCCGCTGCCGAATTTGTCTAGGCTCGGTGGTATGATCAACTTCTTAGTTCATTTTCCATACGCTTTGTAGCCTATGAAGTAGGTCGGACTTGTCGCCAATATGTGTGTACAGATATTCCCGCTTTTCGTTTCGAATTCCGTTCCTTTTCGCTATGTTGTGGGATGGGAAAATGAAGAAATGGAGAATGGGGGTGTGGTGGTTGTTGATCTATTCACGCTCACTTACGAGGGATAAAGGGTGAAGATGAAAGGTCGTAGGAGTGGATCTTCAAATTGTTGTCTCGTGTTATAATATTCTTGAAAAATTCTCTTATATATTCGCTAGGAGGTCACCGCATGCTGGAGATCTCTCATTCTTTATTCTATCGAACAATTGGATCGCAGTATCCATTTACCACTGTACCCACTCCTCATTCCACGACCCCTAGACACAAAGATGGATTTCTGAAAACCTCAACTGGTTTTCTCGAAGAAGGGGTTTGATTGAGAGTAACAAGGTTCTGGTGAGCCGTTTGTCGCAGAGACCAGCTAGCATGTATGTGCCATTTCATGCAATGATGATATCGATCAGAGCTGAATTGGATTGTAAGTTTTCATCCGCGGGTGAATGATGGGTAAATATCTCCAAAGAGACCTTTCTAGTTGGCGGCACTACCTTGATTTACAATGTCTAATACCTTTTGTAAGGGGAGTATAATAATGAAAGGATCTCGGTTAGAATCAAAATTACAGTTTCTTACTTAGAAATATGATGGTCGTCGAATGAAGGATCAGTGTCAAATTTGATCTGAACTTTGAGAGGAAGAATCAGTGTGAAAGTAATGGAGGGACGAAAGCAGCCGACTCGAGAGGTATTCCAAAAGTAGGCAAGTGAGTTAAGAAAGTGTATCAAGCATGCGGTCTCAAGAAATGAGAAATAGAGAAATAGAAGATCGTACATAGTGAGATGATACATGGATTCTCGCTTCTACCAGTATCATGCCTACAAAATCATCAATTTCATTTCGTCTAGTAATTACAGGAGTCGGAAGTGAAGATTCAATACTTCTCCATAGGCTCGTAGTCAGCCGTGTCAAACTATTATAGTCTTACATAATACTTTGGTACTATAATCAAAGCAATATTGAGGTAGTAAGACTTTCTATGATGGGAGGATATCTTAAATTAGATTTGCAGATGTGCGGATGTGCAGGTATCGTCACGTCACTAGTAGACTACAGAGAGAGCGTTGTAGGACTATCTCCCCTCTATCTTCATAATCCATCGATTCTAAGTCTAGGAATTCTGTAAACAGACTTCCCCTAACACCAGCACAAGGAGTATCAACGTACTCTCGAGGTACTCTCACCCGCAAAGTAAACTAACTTGTGGGAATACAGAAACTGCAAAGATCATCGGTCCCTGAAAGCTATCGACATGCATCGATCGACATATCCACGCGTATCAGCGCCGATCACATCGACATGGAGAGAATGATGCAGCCGCGCCTCGAACGAGTACCTAACTTGTCATTGGCATACGGACCCTGAGTCTTCCGTGCGGCAAGATAAGCGACGCTCAATGTCTCGAGATGCGAGTCTTCATGGGATGTACGATGCTGCTGGTCTGGTGGTGGATGGACATAGACTTGAATTGGGTGAGAGAACTATCTGGATAGTTGACGATGCAGATCAGAGTGAAAGGATGGATGAATGAATGAATGGTGTTATGAAATGAAATGAGATCAGAGAAAGGAGGTTGTGGTTCTGAATGATACATTTTCCGTACCATACAACATCTTTCACATAATTCCACAGTATAGCATGATATGGAAGCGTATGAGAAGAATGCCGAATACGCGCTTATTCCTACTTTGAATTGCGAGAATTTTATCTAATTTGATACAATCTTCGTCACTGAACGATTTCGTTGTACAAGAAAGGAGAACAGAGCAGAGCATTGATGCTCGCCACTCACTAGGATGTAGTTGTAAATCCAGTGAGTAATTGAGACTATTATTCTGGATCACATTCTGCGCAGACTTCTTCGCAGGGGGAGGGTATCTAGATATGTACAAGTTTTGCTTCCAATACCGATACCAATATCAATCACTAATGATAATGATAAATACGAGTGATGAATAATAATAGATAATGCGCCACGGAACCTAAAGATGCGGTTCGTTAGCTCATCGTCGTATGTACACTTACGAACTTCATGAAGGCTGCTATCGTACAGATGTATTGAATGCAGATCTTGATGTGATCGACACGACTTTTCGAATTCTGCAGTTCCCGAACAGGAAAAGAAAGACAGGATACTTACTTCCTTCGTGGATTTAGTAAGCGAGTTTTCGCAAGCTACTTTTGTCCTAGAATGGTAATGTATCTCGTACTCGATAAGGTTCGGTGGGTTAGGTTGCCGCTGTAGACACTTGAATCTTGATAGTTGGAGTGAGTGTATTAAAATTCCCACCTAGACTACTCATCGAAGACATTATTTGTTTCAGGATTTAACAATTCTTCTCTATATTGAATCCATTCCTCACACAAGACTCTCATGAACCGATTCTCCAAAAAT